TACACAAGTAGGTTGTTGGGAGAATTTGGGAAGGGAGAGAGAAGAAGAGGGTTCTGGTACCACAACACACTGAAAGCTAACAGTCTACGAGTCTGCTCTAACACCGGTAATAGAAAACTGCATTAGGCATTGAAACAAGAAGGAAAAAGAAAGGTTTGAACTGGTCAACATCACTTGAGTCCCTAAGTGGATGCTCGTAGAGGTTAAGAATGATTAACAATGTTATATTTAGTACTGAAATGTTCACAAAAGAGAGGTATTAGATTGGCATAAATAATAATCATAATGAGATGTCAAGGAATTGCTGATGTATGGATTTCCTACCATAGAAATTTCCTACATCTTTAACATCAAATATTCACTTCATAAGTGCTGTTATTGGTTTAACTGTTGATATTTCTATGGGTTTGAGAACATGTATATACCTGCATGCTCTGACTAAATATATGACTTTTTGGCAATGTATTGTGATATTTATAGTAGTGGTTCGGGATCTCCAATTAAGTTCACTGAATAGACGAAATATCAACATACTTTAAGAGTCAACCAATGGAAGGAGGAGTTTTCATGTCTATATGTATATATATATGAGAGATGTATATACACATACAGTGAAGTAACTGTATGGCAGACATGTAACAAAACAACCAAAAAATAATAATAATAATATTAATAATTCACTTTCTAACTTGCTGACATCATTAACTACACTCTTGGTTGCCTGGGAAAAACACCAAACAGAGAGTTCTGAATGGGGAATTGCCGACTGTACAAGTGAGTGATGAAATGGTAGGAAGTGAGCATGCATATCAAATCCCTGGTTTTCAGCATGTCCTAGTTATTTTGGTTGTTGTAAAAACATGCAAGCTTTTTTTTTCTCAACTGTTTAGATTTGTGGGTTGTTCTATTACTCAAGTGCTGTTTAAGAGTTCGAGCTAGAGAACAGCCTTTTGGTCACACTTGGGCTCAGCTTAGCACTGGCAGCTAGCGGACTTCTCTAAAACTCTCAGTAAGGCACTGTATAAGCACAGAGGAATGTTTAGGAACGTAGTAAGAACAGGAATGACACATCTCTCTATAATGAGAAATACATATATATCTGAGGGTGAGGAAAGGGAATATCTTTAAATAGATGTGCTTGTGGAATAAAGATGGTTATGTTGCTGATGAAATGAACAAAGTATTTCCCATTATTCTATCAAGTGTTCCTGGATCGTTACTACCATATCTTAGCAACTGCTTCCTCTGATAACAAGATGCCTGTCACACAGGTTTTATGCCTGGCATTTGGACTTCCATGCACTTAGCCATGGCTTGGAAATGCTCTTCTAAGGCAAAATTTTGTGACTGCATTGCACTTGAAATATCTCTCGTTCTCAAAGTCAAAATTTTGTTTGTCACTGAGGACAATGGTCTACGAATCTGAGAGGCTACAGAGAGGAGAATAAGACAGGGGGACACTGAACACCAAAAGGAACACATCTTACAACTATTATATTACTGCAATAATGTTGATCTACATACTACAGTAACAATGTCCTAACTGTCTAAGCATATATACCACTGGTGCCCATGAAACATCTTTCAAAATCAAAATAGTGCAATCACAACTGCTGCAGCTGCTCTAAGGCACATTGTTGGGAGTTGAAGAGTTTTTAGCTCAAAAGCAGCTAATGGAGAGAGAAAATGGGTGCCTTCTCAATTGTACCTCACTAGCTTCAAATGAACTGGGTGCACATAATATATTGTCAGCATGTTTATCCAAGTGTGGAGGTCTAAACAGGGATGATGCAATGCTACTAAACATCAGCAAGGGATTTTATATTGTAAAACCGCCTGCCTACATACCTTCTTCTTCAGTGCGTTGAAATTGTCGATGATCACACCAATGAAGAGGTTGAGTGTGAAGAAGGAACCGCACACAATGAAGATAACAAAGTAAATGTAGGCATAAATGTTGGCTTCTCTCTCCGGTTGCATGTCTATCCCACGGCAATCAACTGCATCTGCCATCACCTCCATCCAGCCCTCAAAGGTTGCCTGTCGAGAAATCGGTCAGTCAGAGAAAGAGGATGGACGATAGGGGAAAGAAATCGAGGAAACAGAGCACCACATATGCTGAAACAACGTTATAATAATACATTTCTGAAAATTTAAACTGTTTAAGTAATCTGCAAATACAACAGTATTAGTTAGGTTTGTCAAATGAATATTTTCTTAGCCATTATATCTAAGTCATGAATGCATTATCTTTATTACAGAAGTCTTTACTACTATGATACATAAGAACTATTGTTCCTTACCACTTGAAACAGGGCTAAATAGGCATAACCCACATGATCAAAATTTATTTTGCTATTGGTCCAGTTGTAGTTTAGTCTTTCACAATCACTTCGATTGTTTACAATCTGGAAATTGACAAAAAAAGAAAGAAAGAAAGAAAAAAATTAGACTCAAGGAAGTTATCATTAACAGTTGTTCATGAACTTGTCAAATTACATGGCAATCATTAATCCACTGTTTCAGAAATCTCGTATTTGCATTATTTGTGGAAAAAAAAGAATATATATAATCTACATCTCAAGTTTCAAAACCACTTCTCTACAGACCTCAACTGGGAGGATTTTTCTATCAACGGGATCAATACACTTGTAAAATTTCCCCCCAAACATCTGCACGCCCATGATGGAGAAAATAAGCCAGAAGACGAGGCACACAAGCAACACATTGAAGATGGACGGGATGGCATACATAAGTGCATTCACCACAATCTGTTGAGGGCAGAAGAGAGGAGTTATCATTCTTCATTCTTAAGAAAAGGAAAGTTTTAATTAAACGTCTACAATGATACACATTTTGAAAATATTTAATATATATGAAACATACCATATAAAACCCTATATTTGGATGTAACTTTGTATGAAAACACATATACACAAACATGCACGCATACACACATACACGAACACATGTACATTTGCACACACGTGCACACACAGACACACACACACACACACACACACACACACACACACACACACACACACACACACACACACACATACACACACACACACATTCTCATTCTCTCTCTCTGTCTCTCTGTCTCTCTCTCTCTCTCTCTCTGTCTCTGTCTCTCTCTCTCTCTCTCTCTCTCTCTCTGTCTGTCTGTCTGTCTCTCTCTCTCTCTCTCTCTCTCTCACACGTACCTTCATCCCCTCCCAACGTGAAATAGCGCGAAGGGGCCTCAGTGCTCGCAGCGTCCGAAGACTCCTAAGGGCAATGAGGTTATCTTGCTCCACGAAGAGACTGCAGAGTGACACCATGACAATGAAGCAGTCCAGGAGCGTCCAGACGGAGGTGAAGTACTTGACGAAACCAAAGGCAACCCACTTGATCATCATCTCCAGGGTGAAGAGAATGGCGAAGGCGAGGTTCAGGTAGGAGAGTACCTCCTGTAGTGGACGGGAGAGGGGATTAGTCTCCGCAAGCTGCATGGGGCCATTGGACAGGCTCTAAGGTGAGCATTATGGGGACTGCTTTTGATAATTCACCTTTGTGTTGTCTTTACACTAAAATGTCTGATCTGAACAGTCTTCTCTGAGTGTAAAAAAATCATGTAAGCGAACTATCAAAACTTGTATCTACAAACAAATTATTCTATTCATGTTTCAAAATATTGTTCCAGAAAAAAAGGATCAACGGGTAGGAAGGGTACACCAATAAAATCCAGGAAAAAGGGACCTTCATAGATGGGTACACCAAAATGTATTAAAAAACTAGTTTATTTTGTTATTAGTAGAAATGTTCCTCTTTAATAGGGAGTTAGTATTTATAATGTTGTGTATTATTCTGCTATGGTGGTTAGGGGACAACACATATGGACAAACAAGAGTACTGCCAACCTCGGTTTCTTGCATATTTGACCATTGGCTTCGTCGACAACACAAAATGCAAAAAAATATATATATATATTTTGATGCGCATTCCGGGTATCCTGTGTTACTCGGGCATCACATAGACAGCTGCTGGACGTACAAATAGACATAGAAGCCAGGATGGTCCAACCAAGACACGACAAGCAACACATTCAACATTAAGGAGAAAGTGTGGTTCTAAATGGCTGACAAAATACAGGAAATTAATATAGAGAACACATCTCTAAATACAAGTAACTCAGCCATTGTAAACTAGAGATGAATTATAGCCAAGTTGTAACTTCTTTTGAAGAAACAATGGAACAGTATTTCCATATAATTATGGTCAATAACAAACTATTAGTTTGTTTCTAAGATGTCTTCACTGACTTTTAAAATCATTCAACAATTTTTGGTGAGTAAGAATGATATTCCCAGGCTAGTAATCCAAGATGAAGAAGGAATGAATGTGCATATGCTAAGAAAAGTTTATTACATATATATCTCCAACGAGACTAGAGTTTAGGTCTGGAGCCAGAGTAAATGAACAGCGGGCTCATGACAGTGACTGATGGTGCACTAAAGACGAAGGTGAAGACATGGTGAACTTGGTTGATTGATTGAGACCGGAGATAGACCTGGACAGGAGCCGTCAGTACGGCACATGTGTGCTGTAGTGTCTGGACATTAGAGTGATGATGGCAACATCTGTACTTCTGAATACACATGTCTGGACTTTCTTTTTATATCTCATTGCCCTAGAGAGAAAGAGAAAAAATAATCACAGAATCTATCAGCCGCCGGGAAAATAAGAAATAACAACAGACCCAAACAAACACAAGAAAAGTAAGAGATGTATAAAATAAACATAAACCAAAAAGTACGGCCAAAAATCCATTCTTCCTATGACTATGCAAAGCTGAATACAGCACTTGCAAAAAACATATATAAAGAGAAAGTCCATACAATATATGCTTCCAGATATTTCTACAGCTACTGTGAGCGGCATGTGTGTATATATGTGATGTGTACATTGTTTTTGTAAGTATACTTGTCTACATGGAACTGTAAGTTTAAGTGTGC